GAGAGAGAGAGAGAGAGAGAGAGAGAGAGAGAGAGTTTATAAGTGAATAATTTGTATTTGATGTCAGATTACTGAACAACTTGTTGGGAAAAATGAGAATCACATGTAATTTCCGAGACAGAGGGTGTCCGGTGGTGATGCCGTTGGAAAGCCTACGCCAGCACACAGACAAGTGTCCCTTCAGTATACGGTTGTGTAACAAATGCTTTTGTTTGTGTAAAATAAACCACAATTGTGTGGAAGAGTTGATGGCATTGAATAAGAAAGAGAGCGAAAGATACGAAGAATTAATGCGTGAAAAGCATTCGTCGGACAAAATGAGGGATCAGTTGATGGACGAGAATATGGCGCTCAAGAAGGAGATGCAAGAGTTGCGCAAAAACTTTGAGAAAATTACACATAAATACACAAAACAATTGGAAACCTTTAGTCCAAATGAGCTGGGTAAACCTAAACCCTTTGGGTTAGCGGTAATTATCAACATTTCTATTTACAAAATAATATATACCTTTGATATTTGATATAATAATACCTTGTTTATAAAAACACTATTTAAGTTACTGTTAACACTATATTAGAGAATATTCTGTTATTCTATAACACATGAAATGTTTGTCCAAAAGGCACCGCACCCTCTGGTGCGGACCAACTCGACCCAATCGCTCCGGGAGGCCGGGGATATGAGGCCGCCGTCAATATACGAGATGCTGAGTGAGGCCCGGAAGCACCTGAACCAGAGGGTGTCCGTCACGGAGTGCAACACCACCGAAGAGGCGGCCAATAAAGTGGTCGATTGCGTCAAGAATGAGATCCGCAATAATAACAACATGTATTACATCTGCCAAAACATTGTCTACAAGTTGGACCTCGAGTTGGGCAGCAGTTGGTGTGTGATCACCAACTGGAATAAGCAGGGTCATAACTACACCAATAGTAGTTGCTACGTGAAGCTCAAGTTTGGCAAATTAACGTTCAAGATATACCGCACTAAGTTTGTAAGTATATTATCTATTATAGGGGGGGGGGGTTAACAGGGCTACGGGTGGTGTTAATTGTGACTAATTTGCAATTTTAATATCAATGGACAGTTAGATGTGCCGCTCCTTCGCCGGCGAGTAAGGGACGGGAAAATAGTGGCAAAGATTCAGATATTTGATACGGATATGAGTGACTCAATGATCAAATTCGTGGAAACCGTGACTTTCGTGGCGCTGAGAAAGCATAAGACAATGCGATTAATAGCCGGCGAAGTGAAGTCCAAAATGGACGCCGAATACAGCGGTCAGTGGAACTGTTTTGCACATAATTTCGGTGATTATTGTGTCAATAAGAAGGAGAAGACGTTCATCAGCTTCGATGTCGACGAACTCAAGATTACTTTGTTTCAAGCCAATTAAGTACTGTACAAGGTCTGTTCATACATGACATGTTGGTTATACTTGTGTTAAATCAAGCATAATTTGATTTACTATATAGAATTAATCTCACTATTATAAAGTGTTAATTGATGTCTACACGAATACAGTAGTTTTAAATATACTGTTTTTATTGATTGCTGCTATACATTGTATTCAATTATACGTTATAACTTTCTATTAATGTGGTTTAGTGAAATAAGTAAAATACATTATAATTTGTTTGTAATGAATCTGCAAGTTTGCTACCTAGCTTAATAATGCATTTTTTCAATTACTAGTATTATCACACAAACTTACATAAAAAGAATAAACAAGGTATGATAAAAGCATTATATTTTTAAATATTTGAATTGAATTCAATTTGTTGATATTTAAAGATCCTGTTCAAAAATAATATTTTCATTAAACTTTTATTTTTTGATAGCTCTTTGAAATAATCGTGCTGTAATTTGAAATAATTTTTATTTTAATAAATTTTAATTCAAAACAACATTAATTTCTATTTTTTATAACCCTGTTAACACTGAGAGCAATGGCCAACGATTTAGTAAATTTTATTTAAAATAACATTTTCATTAAAGTAAAAATAAGAAATTACTTTACCACAAATGTTTTGCATGAATATATAATAACATAAATTTGTTATAATATTTAAATAAATAGTTTATAAGTTTTCTTATTATTTACTGTAATTTTATGAAATAAATATTTCCCATCAAAATGTTTCAATTGATTGCTGCTATACATTGTATTCAATTATACGTTATAACTTTCTATTAATGTGGTTTAGTGAAATAAGTAAAATACATTATAATTTGTTTGTAATGAATCTGCAAGTTTGCTACCTAGCTTAATAAAGCATTTTTTCAATTACTAGTATATCACACAAACTTACATAAAAAGAATAAACAAGGTATGATAAAAGCATTATATTTTTAAATATTTGAATAGAATTTATTGATATTTAAAGACCCTGTTCACTCAACCGCAGCTGATTTTCAGTGAGGGTGTCTATTAATTATATAAATTACAAAATCTTAAAATTAATAAGAAAATTTTGTTAAATTCAAATAACAGAAATGACAATTCAAAAATTATATTTTCATTAAACTTTTATTTTTTGATAACTCTGAAATAATCTTACTGTAATTTGAAATAATTTTTATTTTAATAAATATTAACTCAAAACAACATTAATTTCTATTTTTTATAACCCTGTTAACACTGAGAGCAATGGCCAACGATTTAGTAAATTTTATTTAAAATAACATTTTCATTAAAGTAAAAATAAGAAATTACTTTTCCACAAATGTTTTGCATGAATATATAATAACATAAATTTGTTATAATATTTAAATAAATAGTTTATAAGTTTTCTTATTATTTACTGTAATTTTATGAAATAAATATTTCCCATCAAAATGTTTCAACAAATCATACGTTTATTAACAATTTTATTAATAATAGTTAATTGTAAGTATATTGATTAATAAAACTACAGTATAGTTTTTATTTAAGTTATACTAGTACTACAAATAAAATTATAAATATAATGAAATTCTACTTGCCCAAATATAGCGGACAAAATAAATGCATATAAATATCAAAGTAGAGAGACTTATGGTGCTGTTCATGAAATGATGAGGGGTATTTAATTATTATTATAATTTCTAAAAACTTATTAATAATTATGAATTATTTGAAGTAACGACAGAACAGGTGTTGGAAACGTATAACGAGTGCCACACTATTAAAGGGGATTTAAATGTGACACAAGTTATACGAAATGAATATATTGTTCACAATAAGAGTTGCGAACACTTTTACACCGGCAATGGTCTCATCAATACATTTGCCATTCGGGTGGACAGGGATCGGGTGCTCTCATCGGTGGCTAACTTCTCGCTAATCTCAGACATAAAAGAGGGTAAGAATTCAATCAAAAATAAAAATAAAATATTTGATAATA